CCACCCCGATGCCCTCTCCCCAAGCTCTGAACCATGTTTCCTTTCCTTTCTGAGTCCCAGTTTCTCCAAGGACTTGAGAGCAAATGGTTTCTGGATCTCTTCTCTTGAAGTTTTATAATGTAATGAGGCAAAGACTGGAGATGTCTAAAAATGGCCAGGGCAGCAGGGAGCAGGAAGCTACTGCCGCAGGGCTGGGCCCAGAGAAGAGAAGGAACCCAGAGTGAGGAAGCCCTCCCAAACCATGCACACACATGACACTTCCTCTCAGGGCCCCACACAGCAGCAGACACAGCAGCAGTGCCCCTGTCCTGCCATGCCTCCCCCAAGGGTCTGGCTGCCCGTTTCAGAAACCACCAGCAGTGCCCTCTGTATGTGGGAGGATATGGCCCTCCTGGGCCATCAGGGATTCCCACTGCAGAATAGGGCTTGAGAAATTGTGACTATACGCTGTCATGGAGGTCTTTGCCAGCCCTGAGTGGGTTGGAATAGAGGCAGGGGCAACCCTGCCTCCGCAGGCACCCTCCAAGGACTTCAGCTGGGTTCCTGAATCTCTGTTTTTAATCCTGGGCATGATATAAGGATCAAAGCCATATAAACTCCATCGGGCCAATGGAAACTTTTTTTTCATCCTGTTCTAGTGACTCTTCCGCTACAGAGAATTGCTGGTAAAACATTGGAATAGAAAACCCCACTGTCCAGAAATGGGTGTGGCATTGCCCCTCACCCCAAAGACAAGAAGCCTGGCTTGTGGCTCAAGGCAAGTAGGGGTGAGGGCGAGGACAGGGAGGAGCAGGGTGAATAGGAAACAGAAGCCTAGAAAATTATTAAATTGTTCCATCCCCGCTGAATCACTGGGGGCCTCCTAAATCCGTTTTTGATTTAAGAGTGATCGCGTGATGCCTAAATGCCCAGGCACTGCCTCTTAGACAAGGTTCCTCCCCTCAGATTCTGGGAGAGGCAGGTGTCCTTCCCTTGTGAGCAGGAATAGGGGGCAGAATCCCCACCATGCCCAGCTCTCAGCTCAGCAACCTTAGGGACCTAGCCTTTTCTAGGCTCAGTGTGGGGTGGTCCAGGGCGCCATCACAATGGAGGGCCTGCAGGGGTATCTAGGAAGGAGGAGGGATGGCCACTGAATGGCCACAGCAGATGTGGTGATCTAGGGTGTAGGAATTGGGAAGGGAGGGGCCGTCATGAAGCCATACTGGGCTGTGAGGAGCCTGAGCACTGGGTTAGAGAAGCCAAGTTTCTGAGGCCCTGAGTAATCCTATGCCATGGTTTGGAGCTGACCTTCTCTCTCCCATTGTTGGGGGGGCTGGCCTTGTCTCACAAGGAGGATGGCTCCAGATTGGCACCTCTGGCTATGAACTCCTAAGAGGACTAGCCTCTCTGGAACAAGCCAGAGAGGTATGGCTGACAAGTCCCAGATCAAAGCCAGCAGAGGGGTATAATCAGGTGCCCCACTGGGGAAATTTTCAGAGCAAGTTGGGAGCCCCCCGGCGGGTAGGTGAGGAGGGGAAAGGGGTCTGCTTTCCTCAGGCCCATCAGGGAATATCCTGTCTTTCCCTCCCGCTTCTCTAGTCTTCCTTCCAACCCAGGAAAGCTGAAGCGAGCCTGGAAAACTCATCCAAGCTGGTGTTGAGCTTAAGCTGACCGGATAGGTATGTGTGTGCCAAGTCTCCTCCTTCCCACACTCTATTCCTGGTGGGCCTTCTGGAGGGAATGAAGCCATTATGTTCTCTGCCTGGCTTATAGAGAAAAATCTCTGCTGGCAAGGCCTTGAGTCCACCCCTTCAGCTTCTCTGCCCTGCATGTCACCAAAGCTTCTAAGTAGTGAAAGACGGACCATGCCCAGGGATGTTTCCTTTCCGTACAACCTAAGATTTCTATCCTTATCCTGCATCCTCGGCTCTGGTCACCATCCTCTGAGACGGACACTGAAGTTCTATGGAACTCCGAAGGAAGAAATAAGAAAGCCCCAGAACATCCTACGAACAGTCAACTCTGACTGGCACCGGCCTCACTGGGCAGTTCAGGAGTGAGGCACATCTGGAAAATCCCTTGCTAGGACAAAACGGTGGCTGCCACTAGGGTCTGAGAGACAAGTCCAGCCTGAAGCTTGGCCACTAGGATGGAGGGCATCTGTTTTATTTAGTCTGGCCTGAGCTTGAGAGCCTGTTCACAGGAAAGACTCAGGGGCCAGCCCTAGGGCACTGGGACACTCTAAAGAAGAAGCACAGCCAGAACCAGGCCTTGGACCTCGGTTCCCAGGGATGACTACACGGTAGGGGCTCTGGCTGCACCCTGCTCCTCTGTGCTTTTAACTTAGATTGCTGCTGCCCTCTCTACCCCAGGAAGATGGAGCTTCTTTCACCAGCATCCCTGTCCACCCTGAGACTTGTAGCCCAAGGTCCTTGCCCTTTGTTCTGGGATAGTGAACTGGGTAGAGTAACCTGGGCCTCGGGACCTTTCCTTTTAGGAGTGGTGCTTAACCTCTGGGATTAGGACTAAGTTGTAGAGTAATCTAATCCCAGTGTTCCTTCCCTTGGCATATCACTGATGGTTGCCCCAGACTCAGCAAGGCACCGTCTAGTTTCAGCCTGCCTCTCCTGGCCGGCCAGCCTGGATTGTGATTGGCCAGTGAAAAAGAATGTGGCATAGGGCCTTTCTGCCTGACATACAGCCAGAAGCCTTTTCACTTTACCATGCATATAGCCAGACAGTTCAGAACTGCAGGGACCCCTGGGCATGGTGGGAAGCAGCGACAGAAAAAGTTCGCATTGATATTTTAGGCAGTGCCTGTATTCTGAGGGCATCTCCTTTGCCCCAAAGGATGAAGCCATGTTCATAGGTTCAGTTGTCAGTGGGTCAAAAAGACAAGGAGCTGCTGGTTTTTGCGGCCTCTGGTTGTTCCCGTGGTATCCAGAATGGCGTTTGGCATGATATTTGTGCTAATAAAATACTTGTGCTAAAGAATATATTAGTAATATCCAAGAGAATCTCACCACTGTTCTACACACACACACACACACACACACACACACACACACACTAGCATACCACATACTTCAGCTACAAACCTGGTCTGCAGATACTGCCATAGCCTCTTGGGACAGACACACTTAGGTCCACAAAGGCTTGTATTCTTGGTTCCTCACTGTTTTGCTGCCTGGCCACACCAGCCTCTGGTGTGGGGCTAGCTCTCCCTACTGTTTTCCTGGAATCCTTTTGACTAGGCCCCTGAGCCAGACAGCATCAGATCTGAGCCTTATACAGCCTTGCAGACAGATCTTTGATTAGAGGCTCCTGGAACCAAAGAGTGAGTTCCTTCAGGGGCTGTGTCACTGGGGAACCTCTCAGAATATAGGATGTGGTGGAGGCTCCAGGAAGTGCCCCATCGCACTGGTTACCTCTCTAGAGGGTTAATAAGTCTTTGATTACATTCAGCTGCCAAGCAGCCGCCACACCACCTCTCTGCTCAGAGCCACTCCTCCTGGCCTTCTAAGTATTTAGGTGTGTGGTGGTAAATTAATTCCCAACCAGCCACCTGCTACCATCAAACATACCACAGGGTTTCTGTAGGTCACATCAAGTTCCAGGGCTGCAGCTGGATACAAGCTGGCCCTTGAGAGACAGTATCATTCTCTGTAGGATGGACCCTGGGTAGAAGGTGCCCGGCTGGCCCTACCTTGACAGATGTCACACTCAAAGACAATCTTCTCTCTCAGTGAGTGTTGGTTTCCACCTCTAAAGGGTAGGAAGCTAGCGGTTCTGATAAGGACTAAGATAGGAAGAGAGAGACCTGATCATAACAGGTTCTGCCCTGTGGCCACAGAGAGAGCCTCCTTGCTGGGCCTGGTGTACCTTCCAGCACACTCAGTCAGTAGGCAAGTGACCAGTTCTCTGGTTCTCTACTCCAGATTTGGCAAGTATACAGGGAGCACGGTAGGTGCTTGGTCTACACCCACCTCCCCTCCTCCCCTCCTGCTGTTGGAAAGAGCCTCTGGTCCCCCTTACCTCCTGCTCTCCTCTTTCTGTGTCTCGATTCTGGTCCAGCCAATGTCTCCTCTGCTCGCTGTTTGCTCGTTCTGTTTCTGAAGTGTTGTTTTTTCCTGTGATGCTAAGGACTAAATCCAGTGCCCAGTGGAGAATTATACGAGTGAGCACATCCCTAGCTCTTCCCACTGTCCCCTGCCTGGCTGGGGAACCTCTTTCACTTTCCACCACCACTCAGATAGCGCTTCCTGCTGTTCTGTCTACCACCCCATCTCTGCATCTGTCTCTTAGCTCCAACCCGTGTCTCCCATCCTCTCCTTTGCAGGTCTGTCATTCCTTCTATCTCTCCAGTGACCCAATAGCTCCTTTGCCTATTAGAGGAAAAACAAAAACAACAACAACATCAACAACAACAAAAAACTAACCATCACCATCTCTTCCCCACCCCTCTCAAATCATTGACTCAAATTGTTTTAAGTTTGAGGATTTGGGGGCGTTTCCCAACAACCTTGCCTGGCTAAGGCCTACCTTTGTCTGCAGAATGACAGACGGCTCCCAGAAAACTTCTCTACCCTCATCAACTGAAGCCTGCATGGTGAGGGGACATTCCAAAAGTGACATGCAGCTGCTTGGCCCAGGCCAGGACACTGGAGGCCACAGATTTCTGGGCCTGAGAACTTCAGATTACTAACTCTGCTCAGAGTGGGATGGGACAGGCAGGCAATTTCTGGTGCCACCTCCAGGGAGGGCAATGTCCATCTGGGGAGTCCAGACAACCCCTATTCCCCACCCCTTCTAGAGTGCCAGGCTCTGCCCTCAGGCACCCTTGAGCTTTGCGGGCTGGGCGGGGACACCTGGATTTCTCTGGCCCCCTGAGAAGAGCCAGCTTGGAAGAATTTCTCAAAGCCTATTAGAGCAACGGTTGCCTCCTGCCTTCTCAGGCTGGGCAGGGCCGAGGGCTGAGGCGGGTGGAGGGAGTAAGGGAGGGCAGGAGGGGGGAGAGGAGGAAGGAAAAAGTTGGCAGGCAGACAGCAGAGCCCTGTCTGCATCCATCGCAGAGAGGAGGCTCGTGTGGTGTGGGGCGGGCCAGGAGCAAGGAGAGGCCTTCCTCCCTTTGTGCTCCCCCCACCCAGCCCTATAAATAGGCCCAGCCCAGGCTGTGGCTCAGCTCTAGGAGGGAGTTCAGCACCAGGCATCCAGCGGTTAAGTCGAGGCCCCTGCCAGCATGGCCAGCGAAATCAAGAAGAAGATCTTCTGGAGGGCTGTCGTGGCTGAGTTCCTGGCCATGACCCTCTTTGTCTTCATCAGCATCGGCTCTGCCTTAGGCTTCAACTACCCACTGGAAAGAAACCAGACGCTGGTCCAAGACAACGTGAAGGTGTCACTGGCCTTTGGTCTGAGCATCGCTACCCTGGCCCAAAGTGTGGGTCACATCAGTGGTGCTCACCTCAACCCAGCAGTCACACTGGGGCTCCTGCTCAGCTGTCAGATCAGCATCCTCCGGGCTGTCATGTACATCATTGCCCAGTGTGTGGGAGCCATCGTTGCCACTGCCATCCTCTCGGGCATCACCTCCTCCCTACTCGAAAATTCACTTGGCCGCAATGACGTGAGTGGGGTATCTCAGGCTTAGGGGGCTGTAGGGGAGGGCAGAGAGGGAACTGGTTCCATTTGCTGTACAATGGGGATACTGAAGAACAGAGAAGGAGGAAGGTTTCTGGGGTCATGCTGAGATCTGGGGCTAGAACCCATGTGTGCTGCAGGGTCTGTTTGCTGGTTGGTGCTGTGAGCATGGGGGAGCTAGACAATAATGGTTGTGCCAAAGTCCCCTGAAGAGTATCTACTGCCAGGAATGAGCTGAGGGGGCAGATAGCTGTGTGCCAGCAGTTCCTCCCCCTCCACAGGAGTTTCTTGGCTCTCTCCTGTCCTACCTGTGCAGCCACTTTTCTCCTTTGCAGTCCCATGCACTAGGCAACCTCTACCTACTGTCCCAAGTACACCTTCTCCAGATACCTAGCATGTTTAAAGCCACTTCTGCAAGTATCTGAGTGCGACTCTCTTGATACGTTGTCTGGGCTTCTAAGCGCCTTCCAATTCTTACCCAGGTCCCCAAATCAACTTCCTCAGAAAGTCAGGAGACAGCCCCCTTTTCATTCCTCGGCCCCCAATAATTAGACAAAGTTGAGGGAATAAAACTCTCTCTGGAGTTTTGGGTAAGCTTTCTAGATACCAGTTCAGGAGAAGGGTTCAGCTCAGCAGTCCTTGGCCGCTGAACCGTTGCCATGCTTGCTTGGTTGTGTACGGAGGTGGAAGTGAAGGTGTGTGTGTGTGTGTCTGCCTGGGTCCTGAACTTGTGTAAGCCATTTTCAAGTTGACGCTGTGTTGGAGAGTGTGTAAGCATTTGTACCCATTGTTCCTGGCTTTAATGATAAGCAGACGCTGGCAACAGTACGTGGCAACTGTTCAACATAACTGTCCCTGGGTTACTCCACACAGCTAAGTGGCCTCTGTGGTGGCTGCCTGGCCACAGACCTTTCCCGGTTTCTTAATGAGCTAAGTGCCCATGATGAGCGAGTGCACTTGGGTTTAATGGGGACCAGTTTAGCAGAAGTGTCTAAGAAGGGTATAGGGTTTCTCAGAATGGAATAGGCTGGAGTCCCTCACCAGAGGCAAAGACTAACGGCAGAGTGGCAGAATAAGGCCCAGAGAAACATTGTTGGCTGGACCCCAGAAGGGCAGATGCATAGGGAAAGGGGCAAGAGAGCGGACCAGGGCTCCTGTGAGTTGGATGGCTATGTGTGAGTAGACGCCTTTCATTTCCCAGCTGAAGTTCAGGTCCTGGAGATGCAGATGGGGAGGGAGGTGAAAGTCTGGTGCAGAGGGCAGCTGCTGTGGTGGCTCTGCTGCAGGGATGAGCAATTCTGTGCCACAGTGACGCCAAGCCATCACACTTTTAAGTCAACCTCTGCTCAGCCGGAGATTGAAGATTAGCCCTGCGGCTGGAGTTTAGACTTTAGCTGGAGAAAAACGTGGCTGCCATAGGCATAAGGAACAGGCTGTGTCCCTCTAGACTTCAGTCTCTCCAATAGGAGCGGGGCTGGGTGCCTTAGTGAATTCCTGTGAGGAGGTTCAAGTTCCTACTGGGGTAGGGGCTGGGGAGGATGGAAGCGATGCATGCTCCCTCCTAGCCCTTGTCTCTTCCAAGTCAAGTGACAGGCGAGACCTATGCCCTTGCTGGCAAAGGCTTTGCATTTCTAATATGGTCATCCGAGGCAGAGGCAGAATGGGTTTGCTTCCTCAGCACCTGAGTCTGGCTACTCCCCGCTTAAGTCTCCGTTCCTCCTGCCAACTTTCCAGAGATGCCAGAGTATACATGTCAGGCAGGATATATACAGCTGAAGGAGAAAAAGCGTCAGGCTAGTGTGAGGACAGTTTGAGGAAGGAGGCAGGCACCCTAATCCCTGTTTGTTGTTAACCATCAAGTCTTCCTGGGGCTGAGCATCCTGAGGTTCAAAAGGAGCCTTGGTTCTGGGGTCATTCCTGCTATTCCATACCACTAGCTTAAACTGTTGGCTGAAGCTAATTACCTACCCAAGAAGCAGCATCATATAGAAGGGACCACACATTGTGGTGAGGTACCTTTGGCACTTAGGACAGTCTGTTCTCCAGCCAAATGGCTCTCTTTGGGCGCCAGCTCCTGGTTATGGAGGGGCTGGGAATGGTCTCAGTGCCTTAGAGGAACAACAGTCGATGGAACAGGTGGCAGCCTCTTTCCTCTACATCCCAGGGGAAGGCTCTCGAGGCTCCTCTGCTCTTACCCCCACCCTGCCGCCAAAACCTGGGTGGGGTGAGTTGTTGGCATGGAGATTTCCAAAGAAAATAGAGGGGAAAGTGGCAGGAAGTGGTTGAGTGAGTCAGGGGGTGTCCCCCAGGGACATGGTGGGGACAACTTTCTCCTGACTAAGTCAGGGCTCAGGAAACGCCCTAGAGAGACTATGAGCCTCCTATAAGCTCATTGGTCCTTTCTGGGGTAAAGAGGCAGATCTTAATTTATACCCTTGGCTACAGGCTCTGAAGCTCCCTGCCCCGGGCCAGGCACCTGCACCCTATATTGCTCCATACACTAGCCTGGGCTTAGATGTCCCTACTTCGCACCCATGAACCCGTGAACAGGATACAAAAGGGTGTGGCCGGCTTTGGAGAATAGAGGATGCTGAAGCCTTAGTCCTGGCATCCCGGCTGTTTTCATTCTTCCTCTTTCTGGCCCTCATCCTGCAGAAATGACTGGGGCTGTTGGGTGCTGAGGGTAGGGCTGGGTCAGCCAGGCTCCCCACTCTGGGCAGCTCATGGGCCTGAGGCCAGATACACTGCACAGCTGCCTGTGATACCAGGCAGGAGGCAGGTGAGATAAGAGGTGTCAGGGCGGGCCAGAGAACTTTTGAACTGAAAGGATGGGAGGGCCAGGAGAGCTCCAGAGAGATCTTCCTGTAAGAACCCAAATGTGGACTGAGAAGGCGGCTTCTGGATGGAGCTGAGGCAAAGGGGCAAGGGAGACCGTGGAGTAGAGGTAGTCATCAAATTTGGGCAAGCTGGTGTCATGGTAGGAGCCTGGATTTTGAAGGCGATAGGAGCTCTGGACCTTGTCTGGTCTCTGTTTCTGGAGGAGACCATTTTCCCAGAGCTTCCCAGAGCTCATCTGAGGTCTCAGGCAGAGGATACACCTACTCTCTTCAGGGTCATCTCTTAGTCATATTGATTCAGGACTCAAATACTTGGAAATACTTCCAGCTGCTATTCCAGATTGTGTGTGTGTGTGTGTGTGTGTGTGTGTGTGTGTATGTGTGTGTGTGTGTGTGTGTGTGTGTGTGTGTACGTATTCCCTGAATGCTTATTCCTCTCTCAGTTTCTTGGTTCTTGGGTGTTAGCATCCCCAGCCATGTGGGGGAGAGGGTGTCTCTTACCTGTAGGCCGATCAAGATTGAGCTCCCTGCTATCTCTACGAGGGCTTAGGAGTGGGCTATGGAAAAGAAGCGTAAATTTCCAATGCCCTGACCAAGTCCAGCATGGCCAGGGACGGAGCTGGGGGCTGGGTGTACCGGCATAGCTGGGACCTGTAATTATTGTTTCCAGGCAGAAGCTAGGAGGGAAAGGGCAGGGGGAAGAGTGTACAGAGGCAGAACTTTGTGGCAGGGCAGCCATTCCTTCCCACAGAGATCCTGAGGCCGGGTCCTCCACAACATCTGCCAGATCAGTACAGCTAGTGTAGTCTACCTGTCCCAAACCAGAGTCCACTTGGGACACGTATTTAAAAGACAACACTCCAAGAGGGCTCATGCAGGTGGCCGTCTGAGGAAAGCTGCTCCCACCCCGCCCCACGCCAGCCTCAGCCCCTCTGCCCTGGTGCTTCCCCTTCTAGCTCCTCTGAAGGCCTCTATGCAGCCCTACTCTCTAGGGCCCCACTCAAGGTATTGTTAACTATAATCTGCCCGGACTCTCCAGGGAGGTCACAGTATCTCCCCAGCCCCCGGCCCCCACTGGAAGCTGTTCGCGATGGCAGAAGAGCCTTCCATTCTTGTTTGTTGCAGTTTTGTGTCCTGAGAACTTTCCTGTCCCTACTCTTTAGAAGCCCTAGTAGAGGTAGCAGGGGACTCAACCCTGGTTAGCCTACAGGTAAGAAAGACCCCCTCTCCTCGTGGCTCCAGAAGCTAATAATCCCAAGAAACTGAGAGAGGAATAAGCACTCAGGGCCAGAATGAAACTTGAGCCTCGTGCCTGCAGATCAGGGCAGGAAAACGTCCTTAGGGCTCTTCAGTGTTCAGGACTCCTCTCTCTGCACCTTTTTCTGGAGACTAGAGGGGCTCCTCGACCACAGTACTGGGATGAGTGGGAACAGCCCAAATGGAATGAGCAGAGGGCAGGGGAGCTATCTTAACTTATCCAAACAGCTAGTATTCCCCAGCATCCTTGAGACTGAGACTGAATCCCATAGACCAAAGACAGCGAGCAGGCATGCTCAGCCCCTTCAAGGGCTTGAAATTCCAGTAGACACTCTCCAGAGGGGAGTTTCTGGTCCGTATAAAGAATTCTTTTTTTTTTTAAACTCAGAAAGTAGCTTCCTCTAAACAGATGAGCCCTCTATCTCTAGAAATATTCAGGTTGGACCCATCTGACAAGGAAGCTGCTCCAGGTGAGCCTGGCGGTATTGGGGTACAGTGTAGGTGGGTAAGAGGTTTTGTGCCACACGCTTTATGTCAAACAGAATGGGAGGTGGAGATTTGAACTCAGGTTTCTGAATGCTGGCTAGAGGGTGCCTCCCTGATTTCAGGCAAGGAGGAACCTGAAGGCTGCTTGGGGCTAGAGTCAAGGCCAATGCCTGTATTTTGCTATTGGGAAAATGAGACCCAACCAAGTTATAGGTTGTACAGTGGGTAATGTCAGTGCAGGGCCATGCTCCAAATCTTCTACAAACATGTACACACACATGCACGTACATGACATAGGGCAAAGAACATGCTCTCAACACTGCTTCCATCTGGGGACGCAGGAGGGGGAAGGTCCTCACAGGAGCCTCTTCCTCTCCTTGCCCTGCAGTAAGGAAAAGGAAGAAAGGAAGCTGGAAACCTTTGCTTTGTGTATTGTTTCTTGTCGGAAAGATAAAATAGCTCTGGGAGCAAATAAATGGCCTTTGAGAGCAGCTGCTCGATCAAGGGGTCTCTCTCTTCAGCACTCCACTCCCTCCTCCAGACAGTAGTGGTACTAGCCCTGTGGGCATGGAACACGAGGGACATTGTGACGCATTCAGAAATGCCATCAGACACACCAGTGCAAACACACAGAAACCAGCTGGGACTTTGTGCCACAGAGAACCCCTGCTCTGAAGGGCTTGCCCAGCGTGGTGTCTTGAGTTACAGCGAATCTTGGGCTCTGCTCAGGAAAACTTGGCCAGGACCCTATCAGCTTGTGTAAATGTCCCCCAGGGACTTAAAAAGACTGACTTGTCTTTAATCCCAAGGTGAGGATTTTCCCTACTTTCCTTTAATCAAAAATTGCTGTTTACATGATTTAATTCTTGCTTGTTTGTTGTTCTTAGCCTTTTTTTTTTTTTTTTGGACTGGCTCATTCTATCAGTTTCTAAGGGAGGATTATTAAAAACACTTCAAGTTGGGAAAAGTTTGATCTAATTTATGTAGCTGTGCATTTTAAAAAATAATGTATTTTTAATCTGAATTGTTTTTTACTGACTACAGGCCTAATAGTTTGATAGTTCTTAGATCATTTAATTATTCTGTAACAAACCTGTTAAGGTCTACACATAGCCACTTGTAGACGCAGCCAACACAGACCACACAGCTGTACACTGAGCACACGTAAGTGCTGTCTGAGAGGTGATGAGGTGGGACCTACCGCTCCCTGGCCGGCTAGTGCTGAGTACTGGAGACAGTGTGGTGGGCAGACAGCCATGTCTCTTGAGCTGTTCCTTGAGAGCAGAGGCCCAGCCTCAGCCAGGCCTGGCTCTGGACTCTGCTGCTTCTCAAGGGTGGGGCACAGGAGGCCCTTACCAAAAGTCAGGGCCCCACGCCTGGGACTCTTTGAGCTGTCCTGGTGGCCTGCCTTCAAGTGGCAGGGAGGGTTCAGGTAGCATGGCATGCAGAGGTCCATCCTGGGCTGGGACACTGGCAATGTCAGAGTCACCTCATGCCAGCAACACATTTCAAGCTGGGAACAGTCTGGTCCCCTCGTAGCCAGCATGTCAGTCTATGAGCCTGGGGTGACATCAACCCTGAGGTGAGGGTCTAGGCCTCGCTGCCTCCTCCTTGAGCACATGTACCTGCTCTGTTGTCTCACACGTGTCCTCTCACTTGCATTCACAAAACTGAGTGTTCCTCTTTCAACTCTAGTCGGTGAAAATCCAGGCAAAAGTGCACACCAGGCAAAAGCGCACACATGTGCAAATGTGGGTCTTCTCCAGCGATAAAGGACAACAACTGGACAAGGGCCCCGTTTAAGCAGTTGTTTCAAATGTAATGGGCTGTACACAATCGCTATGATTTGACTTTTCTAACTTGCTCTTTCCTGGACAGCGAGTTTCCACAGACCTATATCGCCTCTAACTCTCTTACTGTTTTCCGAGATATAAGTAGTTCAGGTCCACTAGGCAGTGGGAGAGCAGGCCTCATTAGCTGCTGAGGCGAGCGAGGTGGCCGCTGCTGGCATGCTGGTGGGCTTTGGAAGGGGAAGGTGGCCAGCCTATGTCTTTGGTCGTCAGGAGTTGGGTCTCTTCTGGAGTTCCCAGGCTAGACGGCTGTTTCCAGCTTCCTGAGAACTCAGACCTCTGGAACCAGGGCCTGCTCTGTTCTGTGTAGACAGAAAGTGGTACGTTGCGTAGAGTCTGAGACTCAACCCTAGTTAAGGACCAGGGGAAGAGATAAACTGGCTCTGGATATATCTGTAAGAAGGACAGGGTGAGCTGGGCAGTGGTGGCGCACGCCTTTAATCCCAGCACTTGGGAGGCAGAGGCAGGCGGATTTCTGAGTTCGAGGCTGGCCTGGTCTACAGAGTGAGTTCCAGGACAGCCAGGGCTACATAGAGAAACCCTGTCTCAAAAAAACAAAAAACAAAAAAAAAAAAAAAAAAACAAAGAAGGACAGGGTGAGGACTAGATCTGAGCAGGAGGCTTAGGGACAGCTCCACTAATTGGTGTGGAAGTGTTCACTGCAGGACTTCTGCTAGCCAGCAATTAGGCCAGCCTAAGAGAGGAGGGGAGGTGGAGGGAGAAAAGCCATGAACATCAATGAGGGCCACAGGCTTTCCAGGCAGAAGTGGAGATAGCCATTGTGGACTTCTAGTCATTCCTCTGTCAAGCCGTCCCAGCTTCAGGCAGCCTCTGTCAGCAGACACAGCTATTCTTCACTTCCATCTCCACATCTGGTACTTCCTGCTTTTTCCACCTTCTCCAAATATCCCGTGACCTTTGAATCTTCTGGAGGCTCTAGAGTATAGATGGAGCTGAGACCTTAAGCCCATTTTACAGATGGAGAAGCTGAGGCCCCAGAGACACCCATGTTCATGGTGCCAACTAGAAGAAGTAGAACCCAAACATGGGGATTCTGCCTCTATTACCTCTATTGTCATATGATGATAGTTGGCCATTGCCCAAGGCATAGGGGACACAGCTTTGGGGTTGGCCAGGAAAGGCCCAAAGCTGGGGCTTCAAGGTAGTGGAGGGGATGTGAGTCACTCTCTGAGAGCCAGCACAGCAGACAAAGGCGGGAAGAGTATTGTTCTTGTGAGATAGCTTCAGGGCTGAACCGGGAAGACACCCGTCCCCTACCCTGAAGAACCCCTGGCCTGGTGGCTTTGGGGATACCACCACTCAGTGGGGAAACTGGAAGAGAGCCTTTAGTGTCAGCTTTTTGGGTGGGGCTGAGCTGTCCCTCCTGGGAGGGAGACCAAAGGGAAGCATCCCTGCACCCCCACCAAGATGTCTCAGCTGCTCTGTGGGGTGTACCTGGCCTTCCTCCCCTCCTGACCTGGAGCAGTTCTCAGCATCCCCTGTGAGAGAGGATCTTCTCAGGGCAGCCACTGCAGGTGCCATAGGGCTCCAGAGTCTTCCTGGCAGTTCTCACTCCCTTCTTTTTGCATGAGTCATCTTTCCAAAAGCAGCTTAGGGGCAGGGGCAGCCAGACTACACAGTGCTTGGGCCCGTGGAACCAAAGAGAGGGAAAGCCATGGAGGAAGAGAGGGAGGGAGAAGAGGGGAGAGAGGAGATGCAGAAGGGAAAAGAGATGGAGCTAGGGAAAGATTTGGAAGGGGGTGGCAGTATCTTCACTTGATTCTTCCTACCCACACTTCTCTTCTCCCAGATATCCCTGACCACCTTCTGTGTCTGACTCCCACCTCTCACCTGTAACCCTGGGCATACCATGTAGCCAAACAAGAGGCCCTGCGTTAGTTACCTCTGGCCTCTGAGCAGTCCAGACAGGACTGGGGATGAAGCTAGAGCAAAGAGACAAAGCCTGATGTTCATTACTTGTCGTGTGTATGTCTGCTCCCCCCCGACCCCAGGGTCACACAATGAGAACCCCAGTCAGTAATAAGCTATGACATGGTTGAAGATTGTCTCTCGGTGCCTGGACCTTGTGCTCTGGGAGTCGTGTTACGGTCACCACCTGAACTCACTGGACCTTCTTGCTTCTCTCTTCTCTGCAGCTGGCTCGAGGCGTGAACTCCGGCCAGGGTCTGGGCATTGAGATCATTGGCACTCTGCAGCTGGTGCTGTGCGTTCTGGCCACCACTGACCGGAGGCGCCGAGACCTAGGTGGCTCAGCCCCGCTCGCCATTGGCTTGTCTGTGGCCCTTGGACACCTGCTGGCGGTGAGTAAGGGAATTCCCAGGTTGGGGACGTGGGGAGGTCACGGCCAAGAGGTGGTGATCAGGGCTAGTGTGGGTGTCTGTGGTACTCAGGATGGAGCTTCCATGGGGTGGGGATGGCAGACCCACCCTGGTGACAGGAAAAGGACACAGGGACCTCTGATCATGCCATTTTCTCCACTGGGATTGATTTTCCCCTGGTCTGCCCTTTCTCCTCATCTCCCTGTCATTTCCCTTATATTCCTGTTCCTTACACGATTGCTCTCCTTCCAGATTGACTACACTGGCTGTGGTATCAACCCTGCCCGGTCATTTGGCTCTGCTGTGCTCACCCGCAACTTCTCAAACCACTGGGTAAGTCACCGTGAGCAGCCAGGCGCATGGTGGAAGCCAGTTCCTTCCACCTTTAGGGCATTATTTTCCTCTCATAGAGATTCCGGGAGACAGGTAGGACAGAGGAAATCAAGAAACCAAACCCTGAGATGAAAGGAGAGGGTTCAGATCATGGAAAGATTTGTGTCATCTCTACTCTGACGGCTCGAACCTACTACCCTGCCCTTTCGTTCCAACAGTGTGGTGGACGGCAGAGGTCAGACCTTGACCCTGCCACCTTTGGATTTAGCAACCTCAGGAAGGTTATTTTTTGCCTTGGTTTCCCGGACATTGAGTGAAATAGGCTTAGGATCCTTGCCTCTCCCATCAGGGGAGGACCCACATCTGCAAGCAGAGCTATTAGAGAGAACATTTCGCATAGGTTTTAGTTTTAATTACTGTTGGTCTGTGTGTTCCTGGTCACCCTTCTATTAGAATAGCCCATCTCTGGGAACCTTCCAAGGCCAGGGGAAGGGAGTAGAGTAGAGCCATCCTCAGGAATGGGCAGATACAGAGATATGTGAGTTGTATACAGTGGCCAGGCTATGCCATCACTACACATCCTGGTCTGGGACCATTCTGAGGGGCAATGGGATCAGAAAGTGGGGGGGCGGGTCTGTCTGCTTCTGACTCATGACAGAGGGAAGGACGAGATTCCTAGGGGACGGGTAGTGTGGTCAGCTGTCCTCTAAACTCTCACTCTTCTTTCCTAGATTTTCTGGGTGGGGCCATTCATTGGAGGTGCCCTGGCAGTGCTCATCTATGACTTCATCCTGGCCCCGCGCAGCAGCGACTTCACAGACCGCATGAAGGTGTGGACCAGTGGCCAGGTGGAGGAGTATGACCTGGATGCTGACGACATCAACTCCAGGGTGGAGATGAAGCCCAAATAGAGGAGGCTTGGCCTGGGCATCCATATGGGGGTGGGGTAGGGATGGGCGGAGGGAGGGGAGGGCTGAAATCATATTGTAGACACTCTGACAAGCTGACCAAAGTCACTCCCCAAGACCTGCCTGACCCACACGGTCTATCTAGCCTTGTCTGGGGGCAGTAATATCACTGTCTTTCTTTCTGTTTCCTGGTCTCAGAGCTTCCTGGGGACCAAGATTTATCAACTCAGTACCTCACTCCTTTGACGTCATGGAGGAGTGAAAGGAAGGGACCCACCTGTTAGCTGTCCCCTCAGAGTGTGCTAGGAAGTCCCCCTCATTCCAAAGCTGCCCAGCAAGTCCCCCACCTTAGGTGCCTGGGATTCTGCCATTGTTGCTTTGTGCCTTTGATCAAGGCCTTCCTTATCCCCAAAGGCACTTTGAGGGAGAGGAGGTCCCCTAACTTTCCCCTTTGGTCTGACTTACCTCCAGGACCCTTCCCCTTAAACTCACTCTGAGACCTTGGAATTGTCCCTGTGCTGAGGCCTCACTTATCACATCTGTAAAATGGCAAGGAAGGGACAGCTTTGGGGATTCTGTAAGTGTGGACATGCCACAGGTTCTAGAAGGGACAGTCTAGACAGTACTGCTTTGCGCACCTGGCCTGAGCTCCTCTCCAACATTCACAGCCCACGAGCACACATGGATGAGCTACAGAGCAGAGGCTGTCCAGGATGCTGGAAGTGCCTGTTCACACAGACACCCTTCCTTTAGGCGGGTTTGCTGTAGCAGAATGAAGTCCATTTCGTGGTGGTAAGAGCTCACATTCCCTGACCTAGCTCTGGTGGGTCGTCCTGTGTAACATGGCACCAGCTGGGTGTTTATGTCAGTCCTCTAGTCTCCCTTGCAGCGTAGATCTGGTGTGTGTGTTTATTAAAGAGCACTGGGCTATGTGCAGCATCATGTCAGAGGAGAGAAGCAGCTAGATATGCAACAGACCCCAGACAGATGCCCATGGTGGGCACGCAGGGGTTTGGGTGCCCCTAGATCATCATGATCAAGGAGGCCACTCTTGTCCTGGCTCAGGAGCTCCTGGCTAGATGCATTTGATCAGAGCGTGGACAATCTGAAGAGGCTCACTATGTGACTCCAGGCACAGTCTGTTCTCTGCATTGACCCGATGATGCAGCTTCTGCTGCAGCCTAAGGACATCTCAGAGCGGAGTCAGCTCAGGGGTTGCATTTAGCTCTAGGTTATTCCATTCAGTCTCACCAAGCCTGAGCAGCTCTGCCGCTGTGCCCCTAACCATGTCGTGAACCCAGAGCCGCATTCTTCAGGTGCTTAGAAGCAGCAGGACAGTCAGGAGGCCATCGACCACTGGCATAACACAGCTGCACACTCTTCTCCATTCCCTAGCAGGCACTGTACCCACTTAACAGATAAGGACACTGAGGACCCATATGCTCAACTATATCATTTTGGTTCAAGCTTTAGCAGTCAAGGCCATGTTTGGCCACTCCATGGTCAATGAAGTGGACTCCTCTCACCTCCAGCTTCTCAGTTTCTGCCTGGGCAATAGCTAAGGGACGGGGTTGGGGGTGGGGATGGAGGTGGTGAGAGAGCTGTGCTGGAGGGGGGCAGGGCAGGCCCATCCCACCTGGTTCTGGCCACTGTGAACCAGGACCCTGTTATCTGTCTGCTCTGTGTATGTTTCTCTGCAATTGAAATTTCATCTGATGATAAGAAAATAAAGGACAATGACTTGCAAGGTCCTCCAGGCCTCCTGTGGTGTTTGCTCTTTTCGGTATTGCATCCCCACAAAGGGGCTCCAGTCTGTGAGGGGGGTTATTCTCATTTCTCTGTCTCCCAGTCTGAGAAGAATACAGATGCCCTTGTGCCCTAAGGAAACCTTGGCCCCAGGGGATGGGTACATTTATACCACAGATCCTAGGAGAGACAGGGTCTTGTCCTTAATAGGAAGGCTTCTGAAGCTCTGGAGATCTATGAAACAGCTATGTGGAAGTGAAGGAAAAGTTCAGGGCAGTTTAAATGAGGTGATAGGAGCCATTTTGGGTTCTGGAGGGTGGAAGAGTTAGGGGAAGCTAGGTTGAAGTCATAACCCTCTTTTAACCCCTATGTTCTCCTCAGGGCAGAGCTGAGGTGCCCCAGCTTTGCTTACCCTGGAAGCTCCACCTATGCTTATGTCTTGGGACCCCCAGGAGAGCTCTTCAGGTTTGACTCATCAGAGAAAATGAGCCCAGTGCTATGCTATACAGAGATTTGTCAGGTCCTGACACTAACCCCATGTGTGACACATGAAACGCTTCAGGGGGACTGTGAACTTAGCCACTGGAAACAGGCCATACATGGGCTAGCTTGTTCCTTCCTACATAGGCTTGCTCCGGGAGGTGAGAACCCACAAGCTATTGGAATGCTTGCCACGTGGCAAGCACAAGTGTCACCTGAGTGTAGGCTGAAGAGGGAAGGGGGCATGGGAAGGACTCAGCATATCATCGTGTTTCTGGTGTGATGGCATAAGAGGTGACACTGGAGAAGGCTTAGTGTTGTGTCTCTAACTGACTGCAGTGTACAAGGACCCTGGAGCTACCTCAGCCCCATTCAAACTTCCCTGGCTTCTTCCTGGCGAGGCACGTGTTGTTGGAATGAGAGACTGCCTGCTAGGCTGTAGAAACACTGTAGAGGCTAGCCCAAAGCCTCACAGACTCACACTTGAGGGCGTGTCAAAATCTCTCAAGTCCCTCTTAGCCTGCCTCTTCCTTGTCCCATCCCCTAGGTCTCAGGTCCCCTTAGTCTCCAACCACTGTGGACTACAGCTACTTAATTCCTGATCCCACCTCTGCTCTACTCCACAATATAGCCTTTCTTGCATGACTTCTGTAAGTTGTAATTTCTAGAATCCTAGAGCATAGAGGCAGCTCCTGGAGAAGAAGCCAAACTGGGGTTTGCAGTTACCTATAAGGCATTAGAGACCTTGCTGTGACTTGCAATATTAGAAGGCAGAGCCATCTGCATTTACAGAGGTCGTGTGGGCTCCTGAAGGTGAAATCATTCGCTCAAGGCTACACAGCGGGATGGTGCTGGGATTGAGGTTTGAACCTGTTCTGCCTGGCTTCAACAATTGGCTATCTCCATTGTGCATTATGTGATGCTGACCTGTTTTGTGGTGATGCTTTGTAGAGCTCTGGGCCAGCAGAGAAGCAAGGCTGAGCAACAGGGAGGCAAAATTGAAAAGGCTTGCCTATGAGCTCCCAACACTGCAAGAAGCCTGCTCCTTCTAGACAGACACATGTGGTGATGGCTTGAGGCACCACCAGACTGAGGCTGCTTCCATTACTGATACCTACTCCTGACTGGAAAGGATCATGATCTGTGTGTAGAGCATATGAACAGGGAAAGGCCAATGCTGCACCATGAGGGATATTAATGCACCAAGCTAAGCCTTATATACACAGTAGGTTTTGGTGCAATAGCTTTGGAGCCAGAGTGTCTTAGACATTTCCATGGGCTCAGAGCTCCAGCATCCATCTCCCCAAGTTCTTCAGACTTTGTACTGCTCAAGTTCTACTTGGCCCAACACAGATGAGTGGGTTTGAAAAGTAATTGGGGTGGGATGAGGCTTCTTGAGTAAGCAGAGGTCAGAGGACAACCTTCAGGTATCAGGGCTGTTCTGTTCATTGGATTTTAACACAGGCAGCAAATTTCCTAAACACCTCCAGGACTCAACCTTTGTCCCCAGGCTCTTGAACTGTCAGGTGACTAGCACATGAGGTGTCTTGGTGGGGGGCACCTGTCACCTGCCTCCGACTGTGACCTTACTGAGACTAGACTACAGGTCACCCACCCTTATCAAAACTCTGCACAGCCTTAACCTGGGGATGATTCAGAAAGCACGGAAGGTCGTGCCTTCTGCACCTGGCCTACAGGGAAGCAGGATGTGTTCTAGCAGCCACTGAATCCTAGAATATTTGTCTTTCCATTAAATTCACAAAAGCAAAATGCTGCAACACTGCAATTGCCACACCCCATCAGAGGCCCTGATGAGGCCTGGTACAGATTAGAAGACTTCCTAAACCCCTTCGCAGCAGGACCAGCCATAGCCCTGTGTTCAGTGTCCTGTCAGTGTGAAGTTTATTGTTGGGCAAATTCTCTTGGTTTCTAAACATGTAGAAATCTGGAATCTTTGCAGAGCCTTAGCCTCTGTGTGTGTGTGTGTGTGTGTGTGTGTGTGTGTGAATGTGTGTGAAAGAGAGGGGAGACACATACACAGAGGTGCAAATGTGTGTGTGCATGTGTGTGCATGTATGAGTGTGTGTGTGTGTTCATGTATATGGGGGTAGGCATGTCACAGTGTTCTTGTGGAGGTCAGACAACAACCTTCAGGTATCAGTACTTGCCTTTCTATCTTGTTTGAGACAGGAGTCTCTTTGTGCCAGGCTCCCTGGCCTCTATATTTCCACATGGATTCTTCCAACTCTGTCCCATCTTCCTGTAGGACGAAGGTTGAGTTTACAGATGCGACTACATTCATTTTTTCTGTTTTACATTTGTTGTCGAACTGTTATTTTGAGTGTGGATTCTGAGGATCATGAACTCAGGTCGTCACGCTCTGTGTGACAACTGCTTTTACCTACTACATCATCTCCTCAGCTCCAAACTTTCTCTTGTAGTACCTCAAATTCTTCATCGGGATCATGGAGATTCTGTTGGCTGGATGCTGAGTACTGGGTGCTGTAAGAGGATGGGTCTTGACAGGCACCTTAGGTTACATGACCTGATGAGTAGATGTGACCTATTATTCTGGCCTTGGTCCTGACACAGTGGACGTTGAACCCATGGGCTCAAAGCAGGCTCCAGTGGGAAATGTGGGACCCTAGGGACCGCAATACCCTTGGGGAACCTGATAGATGTGTGGAAGGTTCTTTTTCTTTGGGGTTCCCAGGCTAGTCCGCAGTATCCTTGGAACCAAAGCTAGAATCCGGGCTGGAAAAGCACTGGAGGAACTGGTGCCAGGCCCCCACCCTCAATGTGGCCAGGCCATGTGTGGGGCCATTAGGGTTTTTCCATGGCTCCTGTAGAGCATATCTTCGTTGGTCAGAGGCTTCTCAAGGAGGGGACAGTGATTAATGTTTTATGGACGAGCTGCTGGGTATGATGCTTTGTTTTCTTTAGGTTTAGAATACAATGAAGACGATGATAGGAATTCACTTCCCAGCAAGGGGGCTGGGTGAGGCCATTCTTGGGAGGCCAAGGACCAAAGGTACTGGTGTTTACCATTCTTAGTGCCAGAAGGGAAGAAGGCAGGTGAAGCTTTTGCTTACAGGGTCATCTTCACAAGCCCCATGGGACCATCAGTCCCCATTTGCACTTTGAGACCAATGTTCGATCGGGCCTGCGATAAAGGATATCTAGCTACTTCAAGAAACACTGCATGCAGAATTTGTTCCATCGCTCTGCTTGTAGCTTAGTGACTGGGCACAGAGAGAGATTACTACCTATCTGTAGCTGTAGGGCAACTTGGCTGCACTTGGTTTTATTCGTTTGAGAGAAAGTCTGCAGGTTGGACTTGATGTTCCCATGTAGCTAAGGATGATTTTAAACTTCTGATCCTTCAGCCTCTACCTCCTCAGTGTTGTGCCACCGAATGTATTTTATGCAATGCTGGAGGCTCTGTCATGAATACTAGGCCAGCACTCTATCAACTGAACTACATTTCCAGTCCCCATTCTTTTTAAATACTGTAATTCTTTCATGTGGAAGAACAAATTTAATTCATAGAGTTGTCCATTCAGGAAAGATTAAGGGTCAAAGTGTATGTGTATATGCACTTGTGCTGGTAAATGAGGACAACTTTCTTCTGTCATACCCTGCTTTAATTTGTCCTTCTGTCTGTCCATAGACCCTTCCCTGTAGTTAACTGTCTGATGGAAGCCCAGCTCAATCCTTGAGGAGAACACAGACTCAGGCTTCTAGGGGTCTGCAGCCTAGTCCAGGACCAAGACGACCACACAAGCAGAGGCCACAGGAGCATCCTCTGCCCGCAGCGACTCTCTGCATGGGTATTGTTTACCTACCTTCATGCTGTTGTTCACATTCAACCAACTCAGCTTGGGTTGTCGGAGCACTAGCAAGCACAGATTTTAAAACAAGCTGCAAGGTAAGTGACAGACTCAAATGTCTGCAGTTATGACATCATAGGGGAAGGAAGAGAGACTCTGCATATGAGTCTATTCCAGAGGAGGGAAATGTGAACCCAGAGAATTAATAACGGAGACAAAGTCCTCCAGGGTTGGAGCCCACACTGGTTGCAGCCGCTGATATTCTGGAAGAGGCTAGTGTGTCCTGACACCTTATTAACATAAACTTATTTATTTATTTTTTTAAATTTAGTGCATATTGTTCACAATGCAACTCAAAGAGAAAACTGAAGCCAAAGAAAGCAATAAAATTTGTTTAGATTAATTTTAAAATTGATGGGTGGCATTTGTGCCTTTGAGTTGTTAATATGTCTCATGTGTCATTTTGGGGTGTGTGTGTGTGTGTGTGTGTGTGTGTGTGTGTGTTCAGTTCACTGCAGAGGGCTGCTAGGCCCTCATGTGGAATGCCCATACTGAATCTGAGCTGACCATGGAATCCACCAGAGGGCTACAGTTGCACAAATATGCCATGCTCACCTCACGACCTTCTGCTCGTCTATTTGAACTCCAAGGACATCTTTCTTTTACTTGAGTTTTGAACAACATGAGGGCAGCCA